ATATAGTTTTATATATATATATAAAACTATATATATATATATATAACTCTCAATCATTATTAATTGTGGAAGGAAAAAAATAAAATAAAATAAAATTTTAATTTTGATATAAAACTATATATATATATATATATATATATATGAATTAAATTATAATTTAAAAACTTGTATAGACACTAACCTAGTTTATATATATATATAACTCTCAATCATTATTAATTGTGGAAGGAAAAAAATAAAATAAAATAAAATTTTAATTTTGATATAAAACTATATATATATATATATATATATATGAATTAAATTATAATTTAAAAACTTGTATAGACACTAACCTAGTTTTTTATCCAACACTTTGTTACTAAATACTCATATATATATATATATATATATATATATATATATATATATATTTATATATTTATTTATTTATTTATTTATATATTTATATATAGACTTCTTATGATTTTAGGACTCAACTACTGAAATGTACCAAACTCATTTAATTTTAACCCTATGTATATTAGATATACCAAATTAATTTAGTTTTAACTCTACGTATATTATATGTACCAAGTATTTTATTTCTATCAGACTGTTTTTTTTTTTTTTTTTTTTTTTTTGACTAAAAGTACATATATTAACTTCAACCTTTTATCCTCAAGAATATTCGGATCAAAATTTTTTATTAATTAAAATTGTATTGTTAAACATCAGAAGACAAGTACTATAATGTCCATTAATTTATCTTTGAACTTAAAATTTTAATTTTGTTCATAATTCTGGAGATATAATAGTATCTCAAAAGAATACAAAGTAATCTTACTATTAAAAGGTTATTTTTGGGAACTACAATCACTTTCTTTTCACTTTCATTCTTTCCAAACTTATAAAACAATATTTTCTCACTTTCTTGAAAAAATTTCTTGCTAACCAAATACATAATACAAACTTGATTTTATTTTCCTTTATTTCACTTTCACTTTCCATCAAAAATTTCTACCTAACCAAACGGACCCTAAGGAACTTATCAAATGAAGAGAGAAATCTGAACACCAATTACCAAAAAGAAAAGGAGCCAATATAGTAGTGGTAAAACACAGAATAAAAAATAAAAAAAAATACTTTCATGATACTTCTAAAATAATTAAAAAAAAAAAAAATTACAATGCAAACTAAATTTGTAAGATCAACCCATCATTGTTGTCACCAATCAAACATAAAGCCTACAATAAAAAAAAATAAAATACTTTCGTGATGCTTCTGAAAAAATTAACATAAAAACTAAAGTAAAAAAATCGTAATACTACGAATTCAATACGAATTGTACGAATAGAATTTTGAATTTAATTGGTGATTTGTTTTATTATTTGGTACATTATTTTATTAAACAATTAGCCTAAGTCACACAAAATGAGAGCGCGAAAGCTTGGGAAGTTTTTTTTAGTAGTTAATATATATATGTGTGTGTGTGCGCGCGCGCGTGTGGTAGTATAGTAACGTCATACAACTAGGGCATACTGAAATTTAAGTAATTAATATATATATTGAGTAATACTATAGGTAATAAATGTATATATGGTAATTTAGGCGTTCCATATTCTTTGGACGAATGGTGTGACTTAACAATTACCTGTTTTATCTATTTTATTTTAATTGGTAACTTGTTTTATTGTTTGGTAAATTGTTTTATTAAAAAATTACCTATTTTATTTATTTTATTTTAATTGGTAACTTGTTTTATGGTAAATTATTTTATTAAACAATTACTTATTTTACTTATTTTATTTTAATTGGTAACTTATTTTAGTTGTTTTAGCCTTCAAGAATTCCGAGTATAATATGATCATAATTTAATATAGTGTAGATGTAGATTTGTTCTCATATTCTATATATGTGTCTTAGTATCTATCTTTTTTGTTGCATTAGTTTCAAACTTTAGCTTCACTAAAAGCTTTATTGAGCTGCGGGAAACAAAAGAAAATTATTGAGCCAAAATCTCTACCTTTTAAAAGTATTTTTTAATTACCAAATACAGCTAAATATTTTTTATATACCAAATACAGCTAAATATATTTTTTCATTTTTCAAATGTAAAAGATATTGGCTCTTACAGGCAAATGACTAATGAACTATCATCATTTAAAATTGGCATGCCAGGAATGATTAGGGAAAAATAAATAAAACTAATAATTAATGTGCTGGAGGGAAATTAGAAGTATCATATAAAATATAGGAAAAAAAAAAAAAACCTAAACAATTACATATGGGCACTGTGGATTTGAATGAAAAAAGAAAAAAGTATTACATAGTTGTAAGATGGCCCCTTAACTATTTTTTGAAGCAAGTCAACCTATCAACTATACAAATATTGCATATTTCTACTCTTCAGGTATCTGATAAGCATGTGACTTTTTTTTTAATGACAAAACTACCCTTGCATATTACCATTATACTCCTACCTCCACCCATTTGTTATTTGTTTACTTCAATGTTTATATCTAACTCACATAAACCATGAGCAGAAGAACGCATTCGAGAGCGGGAGCAGAGGAGCGAATTCGAGAGCGGAAGTTTGAGAGCGGCAAAATTAAGTTATAAGTATTAAAAATTTGAGTAAGAGCGAGAGCGTGTTAGGAACGTGAGAGCGAAAAGAATTATGTGATTTAGGTTCGTATTCTCCATCCATTATTGAACACACCCCCATTTTAATCCGTATGAGAAAATTAGACGATAAACAGTGATAAAGAGAACTCCAAAACCATTTCCCCCTCTCAAAACCTCTTCTTTCTCTGTGCTTAAAATGTCGCTCTCGCTCGATCGGACCCTCTCATTCCTCACACAACATTTTATCTCTGCATCGTTTTGCATATTCGTGTGTGTGTATATATATATATATATATATATAATATTGTATATACAAGAGAGAAGGAAAAATTAAAACAAATAATATAGAAGTAGAAGGTAAGAGACATACACACTTTATTTTATGCACCTTATATATCCCTCTAATTCATGTTTGTTAATATTGTTTATGTTTATCGATTGTATAAATTTACTTATATAATTATTGTTCACAGATGTCAATTTTATAAATGTTAAAACGACGTTTATGATTATTATTATTATTTGCATGAGAAAACATAAAGTTTAGAAGCAAAACAAACATCATTCTTTATGGCTTTAGATAACCAAGAGGGCTACATTCCACTAAATATCAATAGTTTTTTGAGGAACACACCATTTGCAACCTTGTTAGAAGATAATTGGACACTTCATAAATACTTTTATTATTTGTTTAAAATAGGTGTTGAATTTTTTAAAAACAATTTAAATTTAACAAACATGTTTTTCTATTTTTTTTTTTTTAAATAAGATAAACATTTTTACGTTATCAAACAATGTATGTGTTTATTGATAAACATAAGTTACACATAAACAATCGTTATGTTTAGACTTAAATGATAAATAATAAACATGAACAAAAATGGTTATAAAAAAAGGCCTTAGTGTTTTATACATATTTTTGTAACGAAGACATTGTAGCGATGAAAGTACAAAAAAGGAAATATATATTTTTTTAACAAAAATGACCTCATTATATTTGTCAAACTTACAACACTTTTTTACCAAAATGTTTTTGTATTTTTATTTCAAAAAATCATACATCAAACTTTAAGTTATCAAACACTACCAAACATAGGGGCGGAGGGAGGGGTGGGCCAGCAGGGGCCTGGCCCCCCCAAAAAAAAAAAAAAATTATTAGTATACACATAAAAAAAAATACATATATATATTTTAGTACACTGGCCCCCCCACCCCTCTTGCCTTGCCCTAACCCTTTTTTCTTTACCTTCTCCTCCGTTGAGACTGTTTGTAGGAATTGATGACTTCATTGAATTGGTACACTACTTAGCCTCTTGATCTTCACATTTTCCGATTTATCTCTTCGTCAGATTCTCGAATCATGATTGATTACCTGGTAATTCCAATTTCCACAGAGAACTCACATCCATTATAATTTATTCTGTTATTTTTTCCTTTTCAATTGATACTTCGATAGTGTTTCTGTTTTACGTAACCGTTTACTGGCCCGTTTGTTCAATATTTTTCGAATCTTGTCTGGTATACAAATTTTTCATAGCTATTTCATCAAAGTCTAGGGCAGTAGGGCGTTGTTCACTTGTTCTTAACGCACAATCTTGATGTTTGCTTTGTTGAATTCATGTATTCTGCCTCTTATTTGTAGTTAAATGACAGCATTAGTCAGCATATATAGATAAAATGAAGGAGTTTAAATGTTTAATCGGACCCACTGTGGGACTTTGAGATTGTTTTGGACTTAAGTCTTGAATTGCTTTATTGTCCACTGTCCACAAATCTTACTTTATTAAATTATTGTCCACTGACCACTGTCCACAAATTTTGTTATTTCTCTTACCAACTCTATTATCCACTGTTCACAAATCTTGCTTTATTGTCCACTGTCCACAAATTTTGGAAGCAATTTTATTATTTCTCTTACCAATTTCTCGATGGTACTGATGTTTATAACTTTTTACGTCTCATGAGTAAAACTGCGTAATATTCCGAGAGAAACTATCACGGACTGACACGAAGGCTTTGAAAATCTTAATTGGTACACACTTTTTTCTTCTAAAACTTATCTTTTCCTATTTTTTCTGAAATTCACTTGAAATTAGTCATGTAACTGTTGCTATATATACAAATTCTAAGCTCACTTCACAGGCGAACAATTTATTTTTTAGACATTTCACAAGCACACAATTTATTTTTTAGACACTGCACAGATGCACAATTGTGGGTGATAACTTTTTTATATTTTAAATTAGTTGTTTTATATGCAATGAGGGTGCAAAATTATTTTTACTCAATTATGCTTATTGGGAATTTAGGATTGGTGGTTTAAATTACAATGTAAAACCCTAGGTATTAAAAGTTTGTATTTGAATTACCTTCTTTAGGTACAGTGTTATACGATGGCGAAGCCAAAAAGAACTATTGATTGTTTTTTTCAAAAAAATGATGTGCCTTCCGTGGCTTCCGCCTCTAATGTCGATGTTTCGGTTCATGATAACCAGCGTCCTTCAAAATCTTTAAGAGTTGAACATATAAAAGTTGATCATACCTTTTTAGAACATGATCCAGGATTACATCATCAAATATGGGATTATCTTGTTGATGAACGTGATGAAGTTTGACGAGCTTATATCAATGCGAAACCATATCAAATTGTGCTTTCAGTATATCCGCTTTCTAGATCGGAAAAGCATCGTCGTCGATTTCAATCATCTTGGTTTAAATTATTTCCTACCTGGTTAGAGTATTCTCCTTCAAAGGATGCTGCATATTGCTTACCTTGCTTTCTTTTTGGAGCGAAACCAACGGGGCATCCTGGAACCAATGCATTTACTAGCGAAGGATTTCAAAGTTGGAAGAAAGTTAATGATGGCAATAGGTGTGCTTTCTTGAATCATGTGGGAGGAAGTCCATGTTCTGCTCATAGCATTGCTGAGAGAGCATGTAAGGACTTAATGAATCAACCTTGTCATATTGATACAGTGATGGTTAGACAAACTTCTGAACAAGTTTCAAATAATCGATTGAGATTGAAGGTCACAATTGATGCGGTCCAATGGCTTACTTATCAAGCTTGTGCTTTTAGAGGGCATGATGAATCCTTTCAATCAAGTAATCGAGACAATTTCATTGAAATGGTAAAGGCTTTTGCGTCATATAATGATGATGTCGCTAGAATTGTTCTTGAAAATGCTCCAAAAAATGCCAAATATACCTCACCACAAATTCAAAAGGAGATTTTGCATATTGTTTCTAGAAAAGTGAGAAGTAAGATTCGTGAAGATAACGGTGATGCCAAGTTTTGTATTCTTGTTGATGAAGCTCGTGATGAATTTAAAAGAGAGCAAATGGCTCTCGTTTTAAGATATGTTGATAAGGATGGTTTTTTACAAGAACGTTTTTTTGATCTTGTGCATGTCAAAGATACAACTTCATTGAATTTAAAAAAGGATCTTTGTGCCGTTCTTTCTTACTATAATCTTGATGTTCACAATCTCCGAGGTCAAGGTTATGATGGTGCTAGCAATATGCGTGGTGAATGGAATGGTTTGCAATCATTATTTCTTAATGATTGTCCTTATGCATATTATGTGCATTGCTTAGCTCACCGACTACAACTAGCATTAGTTGCCGCATCTAGAGAAGTAATCGGTGTCTATCAATTCTTTTCAAACTTGAACTTCATTATCAATAACATCGGAGCTTCTTGCAAACGAACTGATGAATTACATTCTGCTCAAGTTATGGAAATTGCCCATTTGATATATCTTGATGAACTTGAAACCAGTCGAGGAGCTAATCAGATTGGTAACTTGCAACGACCTGGAGATACTCGTTGGAGCTCCCATTTTGATTCTGTTTTGTAGTTTGATAAGATTATTTGGTCCAACATGTTCAGTTCTTAACAATCTCATTGAAGATGGATGTAATTACAAGATCCGGGGAGATGCTGATACTGCTTTTAATACTCTTAGATCATTTCAGTTTGTGTTTATTTTGCATTTGATAAAAGATATCACGGGAATAACTAATATCCTTTGTCAAGCTTTGCAACAAAAAGATGAAGACATCGTAAATGCTATGCAATTGGTTTCGAGTACAAAACAAATCATTATGATATTGAGAGAAAATGATTGGAACAAGTTATTTGATATTGTTAAATCATTTTGTGAGTGCCATAACATTGATGTGCCTGATTTGAGTGTTCCTTATACCAAAAAAATTAAGGGTCAGTCACGTCACCCACAAGAGAATATTACACTTGAGCACCACTATCGGATTGATATATTTTATGGCACAATTGATTCACAATTGCAGGAGTTGAATAACAGATTTAGTGAAAAGGCAATGAAACTTGTTACTCTCAGCTCAGCTTTGGATCCTAGAGATGGTTACAAGTTCTTTAACGTTGAAGACATTTGCACGCTTGTAGATGAATTTTATCTTCAAGATTTCACGGACCAAGAGAGGATTATGTTGACATTCCAATTGCAACATTATGAGGTTGAAATGCCTGTTCATTCATATTTGAAAAATATGTCAACGATTTCTGAACTATGTAGAGGATTAGTGGAAACAAAGAAGTCAAAAATCTACTTTTTGATTGATGGGTTGATTCGTCTTGTCTTGACTCTTCCCATTTCCACGGCAACTACAGAAAGGGCATTTTCAACTATGAAACTTGTCAAAACACAACTGCGCAACAGGATGGAGGATGAGTTTCTTGCAGATTACTTGAGTGTCAGTATTGAAAAAGAAATTGCTCAGACTTTTAGTACAGATTCAATTATGTATCATTTTCAACTATAAAAGATCGTCGAGCTCAGCTTTTGTAGTAGTTGTTTGGTCTTTCAGGTTTTTTTTTTTGTATTTATCTATGTCATATTTGACTAGATATAGACTAAGTATTATTTGGTAAACAAATTGGCCAAATTTTGGCTAAATATATTTTTGTATGCATCTAATCGATCATGAAGTACTTTTAACTTAAAATATTATTATATTATATTAGTAAAACTGTTAATACTTGGCCCCCCCTTACATTGAATCCTGGCTCCGCCCCTGACCAAACATGTTTTCAATCACTATTAAACACATTATAAAACAAATGAAAACAAAAATACAAAACGTTTTTGATTACCAAACATGCCCTAGACCTAGATCAATTTATGATGAACTTATTCAAAAAAAATTAGAGGCTTTGCTAAAATATTTAAGGGGAATGCAATACCCAAAAGAATTATATAATTCAACAATGATTTAGACTAATCTATGGAATAATAGTTATCAGCCTGACAGCCTATTTCATGTGTCAAATTAGATTTGAATTAAAAAATCATTTTTAATTTAATATTGGTAGATGAAGGACTTGTTTGTTTGTTTGCTTTTTTATAACTAAAATAACAAATTTCAATGATTCAAAAAATAAGTAATTATTTTTAAATAGCTATAAAACAAATTTTTTTTAAAAAAGTTTTACATAACTTTTCTTATAAATGAAAAATGATTCTTTTGATGGATTTCTCTAAGAGCATCTCGGCAATTTGTTAAAATATATTTTTGTGTAAAATATGGCATGTATGATGTGTAATTTATTTTATCTCTTGTTAAGATACAATGTCACGTCACTTATGTGTAAAATTATTGTGTATTTTACACAACTTTTTTACATAACCACATCAGGACACAATCAGATTTACAAAACAAAATATACAAAACTGTTAAAGATGCTCTAACCTATTTATTGATGAAAAATTTATATCATTTAATGTCATGGATAAGACTTACATTTTAACTTATCCACTACATCAAACGATTAAAAATCTCATCCGTTTTTAAAAAATAATAAATTAAATAGATTTTTGTAATATTTTACAATTTTATCATTAATTAAATGGTGCCATTCTTTCTTTAAAATATTTAGAGAGAGATTATTGAAGTGAGATGATTCAATTTAAATTTTTTATTTTTAAAGGGAAGCCATATATGAATATATGAGACATTTACGTACGTGTGTGTATGTATATATATGGAGTATATATATTTAGTATTTAGAGACAGGCAGGGTATCATTCCCTACTTCGTTTTTTCTCAGAAAAGGCGAAATCTAAATTGTGTGTCAAAGACGATAAATTTGGTAAATCCAAAACTTTCCAAGGGCAATTACGGAAAATAATGATAACGTTACGAAAAACCGCAATTTCCTATGAATTTCCTCCGTGTTATCGCCGTGGACGCAATCCACACCGTTGATCTCAAGGCCTTATCGAACCCTAGTTCCCCCGGTAATATATTACGTTTCAAAAAGCTATTCAAACTCATCCTTCTTCGGTTGTTCCCCAAATAGAGAGAGAAAGTTAGAGAGAGAAAATTGACGTTGCAGAGCCTCAACCTAAATTATTATTCCTAGAGAGAGAGGGGTAACGGAGCTTTCTGTTTATTTATCGATTCTATAAGCTCATAGATATATATATTTTTCAGCCTGAAGATTTTTATTCCGGCGGGAGACTGGCGGGGATGGAGAAATCGGCTGCGGCATCGACGTCGTCGGCGGCGTTCGTAAGATGGGAAGAGTCGTTCGTATCGAACGACAAAGGGAGGAGAGAGGTTCATTATTACCTGAGACGCCGGGATGGGACTTCAGATCTGGCCGTAGTAGGCAAAGAGAAGAGTTCGAGGCACATGTCGTATCACTACGCTATTCGGGATCGATCTCTCCTTTCGATTTCATCTTCTCCTTCTCTCTTGAAGCTGAAATCTCGGAGAGAAGTTATCGATTGGTTGAATTCCATCGTCCCAGGTACATACATGCACCTTATAAATCTTCAATTCCTTTAAAGGAATGATTTTTCTTACGTCTTTTATATTATCAATTCCTTCAAATTTACAAAATGAATGTTTTTTCCCCTCCCTGGTTAATTTTCCTCTTCTTCATAATCATTTGTCGAGGTAGATCTGTGAGGCTATGGTGAGATATCTACCGAATAAGCGTGTTTTGATCGATTTTCCTCGACCTATCTCTAATATTGGATTCTAATATCTCATACCTCAACTAAGGTTTTATCTTGTATCTTATAATTGTGCAGATGGGTAAATTCCGCGGACTTGTAATTGACTATAATTTTTCTTGTGAAATTGAATAGATTGACGATTTGAAATCATCATGTGCTTGTGATCCTGAAGCCTTCAATGAGGGTTTATGGTTCTTTTCTATTTTCGGAGAGTTTATTGCTTTTAATTTTATCTTTTTTATATATATATATGTATATATATTTTTTTGTATATTCATATGTGCCTCTTCTGAGGCTCATAGGACTACCTCTTGAATCCAGATCTGCGTAGTTTTATTATTATTTTTTATAGCAAAGTTGTCATGAAATTCACGATGAAGGTGGGTGATTGGTTTCATGTGGGTTCTTTTTTTTTTTTTTTTTGGCTCCCTTTAGCCCTCGTTGTTTTGGGATGGATTGATGTTTTCACGTTGTTTATTGAATTCAATTTCCGGTGTTGGTTTCAATCTGCTTTTGGTGCTTTCTGGGGAAAAAAAGATTTTTTTTTTCTTGGTGTTTGGATAGATCATCGATAATGATTTTGTATTTATATTTTTAAGGTTGAATTCAATTTCTTCCCGGTGTCAGTTTCAATCTTGTTGTGATGGCTCTGCTTTGGTACATAAAGCAGTTTCTGGGGAATAAAAGATTTTTTTTCTTGGTGTTTGGATAGATCATAGATAATTATTTTGTATTTTTTATTTTTAAGGGCCTTCTTGCTTCAGTTCCTATAGCAGGGCTTTATTTGAGTTATTTGACACAGATAGACTTTACAGAAAAATACATACATTTTACTTTTTCTGCCCTCAATTTTTCTGGATGATTTTCTATTAAATGTAATGCAGCCTGATCCTCTTTTTTTGTAACCATGCATTATATGATGCCTCTGCTGCATTTTCTGTGAAAATTATTACACAGCTTCATTTATTAATTACAGGTTTCATTTATCAGTTTTCTATAATGCTTATTTATCAATCTTTGATAAGACTTCATTTGTGAAAATTTTGGGGAAAATTTTGATGCCCTTCTTGAAATATTGTTTGCTTGAAAGACTAAGAGAAGGCAATGAATTGCTACCTAATGAGGCTACTTCAAATTATATTGGACAATTTATATACATATATGTATATTATTTATTATTATTTATTTTAAATTTTTTTTTTTTACTTATCAAAAAAATATATATTATTATTTGTTGGATCATGCAACTTTAAGAACAAAATGGAGTCTTAGTTTGGCAAACAATGAGAGTAATTAAATATGGTTTTGTTCATTTTTTGAGTTACCTGTTGATATAAGTGGAACTAATTTTAAAAAAAATTGCTGTTTTTATGTCATATTCCAAGAATTGATAATTTGTTGTCATTATCTTTTTCCAATTTCTTGGGGAAATTTCAATTGGCCTTTCACTATCTGTTGGAACTTATTGTGATAGAGTTTCACAGGACAATACAACTTATTGTGATAATTCATTAATTTGTTGTCATTATCTTTTTCCAATTTCTTGGGGAAATTTCAATTGGCCTTTCATTATCTGTTGGAACTTATTGTGATACAGAGTTTCACAGGACAATAGAACTTGTTAAGATCCTCTCCCGTTGTGTCATTTCTACCTTTGCATTTTCTCCCATATCTTTGATTGCTCACCATCTCTAGGTTGCTGTTGGTCGTGTTATTGAAAGTTGACTTTGATCTGGGATGCAGGAAATATATCAATTTCCAAGAGCTGGTTGAGAGCCTCGGAATTCCTGTGCCCTCATTCTAGGTTAAGATCTACAATATTCTTTCATCCACAATTTGTCTTTGGTTTCCTAATTAGGTTTTTGTCTATTGGTGACATTGGTACTTAATTTGGTTCTGTAACTATTTACTTGAACCCTCTTGTTTTTATAATGCTACAGCCTTTTATAGTTTGCACCTCTCTATCTTCTATTGCTATGTAGTGTTTTGCTTCTGCCTGCTTGATTTGCCATTTTCTTTGTGTGTACTTTTTTTTTTTCTTTTTCTCCTTCATGGTATATGAGTTAATTTTCTTGGTTGTCAAGGAACACTTTTTTTTATAATGTATTAATAGTTTACATTTGTGAATTCAGATTCACTTCCTCATCAGTCAACACAATTAGCTGGTGGTGCTTTGGACAGAACAGATGCTTGCGACTTGGATGTAGAAGCTCTAAAGGTGTGAATGAAAGACCGATTGGTTAAAAAATTTCATCTGCAACACACTTTATTTTATTCTTGACTGGGAGTTTGAGGAAATCATTTTCTTATTGTTTATTTTTTTTCTTTCCGTTCTTTCTTTCCAGGAGCCTCATTTGAAGAAGCTTGGCCATCATACTACAGAATTTTTATGGGTAGGATCTCCATGGACTTGCAGGAAAAGGCGGAAGCATTATCAATCATTTCGTAGAAATGGTGTTAAGATATCTGTGAGTGTTTTTTCACTCTTTCCCTCTTTTGTATTTCTTAAGCTGCATTGAACAATCCGAAATGAATTAGCCTTTTTATTCATCATTCACTTTTATGGTTGTCATTTAACTGACTTCCTGCTTTGTTTCTCCCCGTTGAATTCTTTCTAGGTTCATGACTTTGTTTTTGTTTTGGCTGAAGAAGATAAAAGGCTTGTTGCTTACTTGGATGATATGTACGAGGATATTAGAGGCAACAAGATGGTTGTGGTAAGGTGGTTTCACAGAATTGATGAGGTTGGTATTTGTTTGCCTCAAAATTATAATGACAGAGAGATTTTCTTCTCTCTTTGTCTTCAAGATCTCAGTATTGAATGCATAGATGGATTGACAACTGTTCTCAGTCCCCAGCATTATGAAAAGTTTCTTAATGTTGCTGAGCGCGCACAGTTCAAGCCATTCGTATGCCACAGGCAGTTTGACAGTGACGATATCAAGCCTTTTGATGTAACTCAAGTGAAAGGTTATTGGGAACAAGAAATAATCAGATATATGGATTCTACTGCCCATTCAGATGCTCCCTTGAAGACTCAGCCATCTGATGGTGGTCTGAAGGTAGAAGGAAATCTAAATGATGCTGTTGGGATCAGACCCAGGAAGAGGCTTCGTCGGTCAAAAGATAGTAGTGCCCTCTACTTGCATCTTGCTAACAAACAAGAGTCTGTGGATGCATGTCTGCGAAAACAAAATCTTAGTGGAAGTTCAATTGCTTCCAAAGGTGGAAATGGAGGGTGCAGTGTGAAGGAAGACTGCTTTGCTGCATCTGTGTCTGGAAAAGAGGCCATGATGCAAAAGCCTCCACTGCATTTAACCATAGGTTCTCAAATTGAAGTGCTTTCTCAGGATAGTGGCATGAGGGGGTGTTGGTTTAGGGCTTTGATTATCAAAAAGCACAAAGATAAGGTGAAGGTGCAGTATCAGGATATTAAGGATGCTGCCGATGAAGCTAAAAATCTAGAGGTAAGAATACCATCAGCACCATATCCTTATTTTTATCTTTATTTTAGAGGTGGGAAGGGAAAAGATGTCACCTTATTATTATGTTCACTTCTATATTTTTGTATTCTACTTTACCTTTTCATCTATATATAGTCCTTCCAATTTATGTATTATTATTTATATATTCTCTTTTTAATGCTGTAGGAATGGGTTTCAGCATCCAAAGTTGCTCTTCCTGATGGATTGGGCATCCGGATTTGTGGAAGGACAACCGTTAGGCCAACCCCAGTGTCCAATAAAGGCAAAGTTTCATGGGCAGTAGATGTTGGGGCTGTTGTGGATGCGTGGTGGCATGATGGATGGTGGGAGGGTATTGTAGTCCAGAAAGAAACTGAAGATAGATTTCATGTTTATTTCCCAGGTTCGGAGTGATCTTTTCCCTTTTATTTATTTTGCTTTGAAGATGTTATCAATCTCAAATATGTTTGAAGTATTCTGTTTGGCAATTTTTGTTTCTTCCATGTAGATATTTTAAATTGACATATCTTGAATGTTTTGCTTCACAGGAGAAAAGCAAGAATCAACCTTTGGTCACTGTGACTTGAGACATTCTCAGGAATGGTTGGGAAATGGGTGGAAACATATAAAGGTAAGACCGGATCTTGTGACCCTGATACTAAAAAGTCTCAGTACAAAGCACATAATGGTCGAATCCCATGATAGCAAGCCAGACCAAGCTCCAATTTGTGAAAAGAAACAGCGGTTTAGAATTGTTCATAAAGACAGCTCGTCAGTAAAGCCTGAAGTTGTAAGTAGCCAAACTCAGACCGACGACGTAGGGGATAAGCTGAAGGAGTTTAAGGTGGTTCGGGATCTTTCCAAAGATGAGTTGCTTGCACAGTTGAAGTGGAAGTCGTTAGGGAAGAGAAAACGATACAGGAACTCTGCTAAGAAGCTGCCGCATTATAGTGCTGATGATTATAAAAGAAGTCCGGAAGCCGTAGAAATACAGGCTTGTGAAAGATTTTTCATTACTACATCTTTGAATGTTGATCATGACAATTGCAAATATGTTGGGGATTCTCTATTTAGTTCTTCGGTTGTGCCTCCTCTAACAAGCTTGGTTATGTCCAGGTGATCGCTTTTAGCATCCATTAATGAGAGAATTTAACTAAATTCTCAAAGTGGATCTTAGTTGTTTTAGATGTATACATGCTCTTTCTGCATTTCTTTATGCAGCTTTAGGTAAGGTCCCTGACTAACCAATCTTGTTGATGTGGGAAGTGTTTTGTCGAAAAGTAGCAATCGAGTCCTTCACCCCTGTATCAATATGTACAAAACCGGTCCTGCAAATTGTGGGCAGCAGTTTTGAATTCAATAGGAATTACATTTTAGAGCTCAAATTTTGTCTTTTATTTCCATACTAAGCGGCACTTTGTCACACAGGTTTTCAGTGGAGGATTTCTTGAGCAACTTTTGTACTGTACATGCTTTCTAGTAATAAAATTTAAATTCCTTGTTTTTATTAAAAAATAGTTGATTTTCGTGGTGGTACTAGGAAGCTAGTTAGGCTTTGCCAGCATCTCCAATGCAATGCCATATTGCATGCTATTTCTAAAATATAGGGGCTCGAAAAGGAGCTCCAATGCAAAGTTATATTGTCTGTAAAATTTTAACTTTGTCAAAATTGATACCAGTTATAGCACAAGAAATTGCAGTAGTTATTTGAGAGATAGGGTTTCAGATCTACACACACACACACACACACACACAATATATATATTTTAAAAAATCTTAATCAAAATAGGATTTAGTTTGCAAAACAAGAAGGTGAAATAGGATTACAACCCTTGATCAGAGAAAAAAATAGAATTACAAACCTTGATCATAAAAATAGAATTACAGAAAAAAAATTAAAACAAAATCCATACATACAAGTTAGCAGTTGCAAAGAGAGAGGGAGGCAAGCTTAGTCCTAATGGAAAGGCTAATGAACTGGATTTGGAGATTCACCTAAGTTTTACATCCAGAAAGGAGAAAGTGATGGGAAGTAGAGATGTTGAGGCTGAAATGATTTGCCCTAAATATATAGTACTATATTTTTTCCTGGGTCGTGTACATAGTGTACATACTGTCGGCAAAGAAGATACATATCTCTTTACCTTGCTTGGAACAATGTGGGTAGCCGCCATTTCAGAAGGCATCAATGTTTTTCTTACTTGAACAATGACCAGCCTAGTACGAGTACTATCCCCGGTAAGCAGGGGCGAAGTCCGACCCAAGCATAAAGATGGCCTATAAATTATATAGTTAAATATATGGGTCTATAAATTATATAGTTAAATATATGGGTCATGGCCCCCCCCCCCTCTCATTTTTTTTTTTTTTATTAGGTTTAATTTTAATTTTCTTCTAATGTCTATGACTTGATTTGGAATGTGCCTAATATTAATATTACTGATACAAATATGAATGGTGGGAATGGTAGTTGAAAAAGAATGGTGGTTATGGAAAAAAATAACATTTTGCATGAAATGCATCATTAGAACAGAATTGATAAAATGTAGCATTTTGACACTATAACACCTGTCAAAATATAAATTTGGCACGTAAAAATGACTTTTAGCATTAAAGATGGTCTAAGGGCCTATGTTTTTAGACATCTTGCATTTTCCAATAACTTTTGGTCTGGTTTCAGATCATGATTCCCCTACCTAGAGGGATAGATAGGTCCTTCCATTTTTGTTTTGGATGGGTTCTTTCTTTTGATTTGGCATCTTTGTCCTTGTCCCACATCGGATATGAGTGGATGGGTGGGTATGTAGGGGTAAATAGACAAGTGCTCTTTAAATGGACATTCAGGGTAAATGGACAAGCGCTCTTTAAATGGACATTCTAGAGGGTGAATGTTTTTAGTATTTTTAGCAACTCTTAGGTTGAATATTTTTGTTAACTCTGCAATTTTATTCATTTTATTTTTTATAATGATAATTACATTCCTTTCTTAATAAAGTTGTTATTATTAAATATGGTAACATCATATTAAAAGATATTATTGTAAAATAAATAATAAAATTGTCTAAAAAAATCTTGTTCCCAAATAAATTAAAAAATAATTTAATTTTGAAAAATACTTATTATAATTTGTCACAAAATACCTACTATGTGTTTTGTATTGACACAAACTTTTTTACTTCTATTGATAAAAATGCTTTTCCTATTCCAACAGCAATCCCAAGCGAGCTCTTAATATCATAATTAGACTATTCAGTGTATCGACAAGCTGGGTATTGTGAGTTCTGATAGGAAAAAATGTTACAAAAGGTATTTGTGCCATATCCGATTCAAATGAAAAATAAATTTGATATTCCATAAATGAATGAGTATATAATATTACTATCTAATAATTTAAGTTTTTAAATAAATAGGCAAATAGGTGTGTTTTAATCCTCTGAGCTACATGCCCAATTCCGGCTCAACTGGATTAGTTTCCAGAACCATGATTTGTAGCCACGTGCTTTAATCTTCAGGACTAAAGACTCCATTCCGGCTTAACCTTTCCTCTGGTAATCATGTTAAAATCATTTAGGATGTAATAAGCATCAGAGAAAAGCACCAGCTCCTCAAAACTTGAAGAGAATGTGTGCTTGTGGGGGCTAGTCTGGTTTGATTGCATTCGCACCCAACTTGAATGTGACATGAGGTTTAATTGGAACTAAAAAGTTGTGCAAGAGTTGTTAGCTAGTCTTCTAAACCAGCCACCACTAGCCATTATTGAATATTCAAACATGAAAGGGTGGTGTGGCTGTCTTTATTTGAAGCATCTTTGCCAACACAGCTTTACAGATTAGACCGTGGCCGCCTCGCTCTCTCCCTTCACTGTTACTGTTTAACACGTCACATCCCCTCTTTCCATTGTTCTCCAACAAAATCGAGCATCTCAAAAAAATGGGATTACTCCATCTCGGGTGGACAAATAATTCACAAATTCAATCCAATGCATGCAGATTGGATTGAATCGAATTACTATACCCCACGGGTGACAATTTCAATATACTCTATATTAATTAATTTAATTAATTAATAATTATTTAATGAACTCTAAGAATATATTAATTAATGATGATTTAAATATAAAATTAAAGTTAATAAATAAACAATATAAGACTATTTAAGAAAAATTTCAATTCGTGGATCCAATCTGTTTCAATCCGTCATTACACGGATCCAATTCGTGGGATCGTTATCCCATGGATTGGCAACGAATTCAAAAAATTTTAATTCATTAAAAACAGATTGAATTAGAATTTATACCTAATATGATCCGATCCATTCCGTGACCAACGCTAATCAGTATAGACAGAAGTTGTTCACACACACAAACTCTTTATTATTGCTTGTTGTAAGCTCTCCCTATAAATAACCACTTTTGCAATGTATTATCACATGGAGGCCGCTGGGAGTATGCCTGGGACCTTAGCCAACGGAAGGCCTCAATTTTTATTTTTTCATAATATATCTTTTCTAAAATTTTTATTTCCTTCCTATTATCACTAACTTTCAATTTTTTTTATTTGTTTATATTATAACTTTCTTAAAAATGTTATTTTCTTCTTATAATTAAACTGTGCTCAATATAAAGGTCCCAAATTTCCAATTTTTTTTTATTTCCATGTAATATAACCTCTTTACAATTTTTATTTATATCGATTATTAGACCTTAACCAATAGAGATTTAATAGAGCTCAAAAGATTTCTATCTTTATCTTACCGGCCTTTTAAGGTGATTCTGGGCAAGTTTCGTTATTGGACTCCTCCAATAGCCTCGCCAAAAATTGGGTCCCACCCAATGGGTCACGGAAATTTTCCACGACCCTCTTGGCAAACCTAGAGCCCGCATCAGTTTTGTTTTAATTTTTTTATTCTGGGCCAGAACCGTGTTTTAGCCCAGAACACTGTTCCTAAGGCTTTTATTTGCTTGAAAAAGAAAAAGGAAAAAAACAGATTTTTGGCTTGTTTTGGTCTCTATTTTTTTTTTTTTTCAAAATAATTGAACCAAAGAGCCATTAGCCAGACAGTGCCTTAAAGGCTTTTTTGAAAAAAAAAAAAGTTAAAAAAAAATAGAGAAAAATGCCTCTTTTTTCTTTTTTTTGAAAAATTTACTTTTTAAAATATTCCTTTTGACATATAACAGTTTTAGGCACTATTTGGTTAACCCAAACTGTGTCTTAATAGTTATATTGACACAAAAACCTATTTTTTGAATTTTTTTTTAACAATAATTATATATATATTGATTTATTTTAAAAAAAACCTTTCATTTTTCCTCAATAAATATATCAACCCTTATTATTATTCAACTCATATCCAACCCATCTTTTTTAGTCTTCAACCTACAACTACAACCATTAAATTTGTATTATTTAAATTTATGTCGTATAATATTGTTTTTAATAATAAATATTATTAAAAGTTAAAAAAAAATAGAGAAAAATGCCTCTTTTTTCTTTTTTTTGAAAAATTTACTTTTTAAAATATTCCTTTTAACATATAACAGTTTTAGGCACTATTTGGTTAACCCAAACTGTGTCTTAATGGTTATATTGACACAAAAACCTATTTTTTGAATTTTTTTTTAACAATAATTATATATATATTGATTTATTTTAAAAAAAACCTTTCATTTTTCCTCAATAAATATATCAACCCTTATTATTATTCAACTCATATCCAACCCATCTTTTTTAGTCTTCAACCTACAACTACAACCATTAAATTTGTATTATTTAAATTTATGTCGTATAATATTGTTTTTAATAATAAATATTATATTGTTTAAATTTCTTATATGATATAGTCGTTTTAAAATATAGCCATTAGAAAAAAGATAAAAAATAAAATTTATTAAAAATTTTAAAATATTAAAATATTAATATTTTTGGAGAGCAAAAATGTACCACTGGAGTATATCCGATAACTAAAATTTGGAGACTTTAAAATGCTGACGTGACTATGAGAAATGGTGACGTGGTTATTGAAATATGTTGATGTGGCAAATTCGGAGAGCCCATTGGAGATGCTCTAAGAGCATCTACAATAGACTCTCTAAAATTAGGCTCTCCAAATTTGCCACATCAGCAACTTTGAATAGCCATATAAGCATTTTCCATAAACACGTCAGCATTTTAGAATCTCCAAATTTTAGCCATCACATGTACTCTAATGGTGCATTTTCACTCTCCAAAAATATTAATATTTTAATATTTTTTAAATTTAAAATAAAATTTATTTTTTAATATAACCGTTAAGGCACTGTTTGAGTTAGTCAAACAATACCTAAAATGGCTATAATGCCAATAGGAACATTGAAAATTTTGAAAACGAAAAAAAAATCACTTTTTTTCAATTTTTTAAAACTTTTTTTAGCCCAAAAAAGCCTTTAAGGCACTATTTGTGTCAGCCAAAAAAGTGCCTTAAGGGCTCTTTGGTTCAATTATTTTGAGGAAAAAAAAAAAAGAAACCTAAGTAAGAAAAAAATCTGAATTTTAGCTTTTATTTCAGCCAAACATGTCCTTAGGAATAGTGTTCTGGGTTGGTACAGTGTTCTGGCTTGAATTTAAAAAATACAAGAAAACAAAAATGGGCCCACAAAAAGTGAGCCCAATCGCCAACCCAATCTTGGCGACCTCCATCAAGAGCCTAAACTTGGGGGTAACTTTTCCTATATTCCATTGGAGCATTGCATCTTAAAAAATTGGGCCATTTTCGCCAAAAAGAGCGCTGATGGAGTGCTCTAAAGGCCCCAAATGTCCAAATTTTTTATTTCCTTATAATATAACCTTCTTACAATTTTTATTTGTGCCGATTATTAGACCATAACTAATAGAGATTTAATAGGCCCAAAAGATTTCTATCTTTATCTTAACTCCCTTTTTTTTTTTTTTTTTTTTTTCTCTCTCTCTCTCTCTCTCTCACTCACAGTTCCTCGTTCGCGTTTCTTTTTTCTGCATAATTTGTAAAACTTTCTATATTCCTATTTTAACTTTTATCTTCTTTGTTTTTGTTTTTGTTTTTTTTTTTTTTTTTTTTCCCCTTCTTATTTTTGACATATTTTTCTTCATTTTTCATTAAGTATGAGTTGTATAACTCTAAGATCAATTATGTGACAAGAAATATTAATGTGATTGATTATATATATATATTAGATATTAAAATACCACTTTTATATTTTTCGCCTAAGGTATCAAATTATATTGAGTTGCCCCTGTTATCACACCAAGTGAACAAATGCAGAGGCAGATGTGTTTTTTAAGGGCACCTTTACAAGAAACAAGAACCCGATAGGAATATCGACTCAACTTCTTGGGTGGTATGGCTCCGTTACCTTCTTTCCACGTCTTTATATTCCAAGGTTCACACGGCGAGGCAACATGTCAATTAAGTGCATCATAATGTATATACGTTTGAAATATATTTTTCATGTCACATGTAACAAGGATAAATGTGGATGTTGGTCCCCAAAGGTATAACCGCTTTGACATGAATATGAGAGATAAGTTTTTAAAGTCTCATTTTCGAATCGCACTTCTGACTTAAATGACGCGTGTATCATGAGGCCGATACACGTGTTCTAATGAAAAATAAATAAATTAAAATGTGGATGCTGCATATAACAAATAATTTTTATAAGTTAGTGGAAGGTGCAGAAGCATTTGTGTTGAGAAGTGCTATATCTAAAGAAGTTTTGAACAGGGCCTTCCCATTTGTTGAGTAAATGGTCTTTGTCTAAAAAGTGTGGTGATTTGTCTAAAAAGTGTAGTGATTTTCTTTGGTCAATGTGGCCTGTTTGGTTGCTTTTAGCTTTGGAGGCTGATTTGTCCGTTGTTGGGGCATCTGTTGGTGCTGCTTTGTTGTAGTCTTTGTTTCTTTGAAAAAAAAAAAATAATAAAATAAATAAATAAAAGAACAGGGGCTTCAGAGAGTGGTTTTTGAAATTGATTGTGAAGGGGTGGTTAAATCAGTTAATCACTGTCAATGGGGTTGCTAGTTAACTAGCTGCAATGACTATAGAGGGGGTGAAAAAAAAATTGTCATTGAGAATGAGTTGCCATTTTTTCATCATATTGTGTCATTTGACTTTTATGTAATTGAGTTTTTTCTCCTCTTATCAATATATGTCTTTGCCGCGGCGTAATGAATTCGTACAAATATTAGTGTAGATTGGTCGAATTAACTAATTTATGGAGGTATATAACGATATCAAACCCTTAAAAAAGGGTTATAAACCGACTATATTGACCGATACGACGAACTATGTTTTTAAAAACAAATTTATTTTTGATAAATAATAATGTAGCTACATGATACTAAAATATAAAGTAGATGTCATTATAAAGCTCATGTCTATTTATTATTATTATTACTTATTATTATTTTTCTTTTGACAATGGTGGAGCCATCCGAACTTAATTGTCCAAAGAAAGTTTATTCCTAATTCATAAAGGAAAATGATAAAATTACATTTGTTTTTTTCGCTTATGTTTATCTTCAATGCAAGAGAGAACTATTGGGCTGGAGTAAATTTTTGATGTTTATTGTCGCTTGGGTAAATGAGATTTTTTTTTTGGTCATTTATGTTAAAAAAAAAAAAGACAAAAGAGGAAGTATATATATATATATATATATGTAAATATCACCTCACTTATTTTTATTCTTTTTATAAGACTATGTCATTCACCACACCACACTATGTATGAATTTATATTCTCAACCGTCAAATTTGAGAATTTTTTTTTTTTGTTCAAATCAAAATTGAGAATAAACTTTCACAAAATTTAAATACAATAGAAGCAATATAATTAAATTTAAAATTAGATAAAATCAAAATTAGAGTAAATTTATTTGAAAGTAGATATTCATAGTAAAAAGAAAATAAAAATTGTACATGAACCTTAAGTTTGTTTGGTTTGTAATTTTGGAAACAATTGTCTATTTTCAGAGAATTAAAATTAAAATAAAAAAATTGTACAAAAACACTGCTTAATTTAATTTTTTAAAAATTCAGTTATAAAAATATTTAATTTTAAAAACATATTTTTATAATTATTTGAAAACACTCTTCTAGTTACAAACCAAATTGACCCATAATTTTTCTAATTTACCGTGTTGTTTGAGTATATTTTTTTATTCTGATTTGATAAAATTAAATTGAGAGTAAATTTAGTTGAAAGTAGATATTCATATGTGATGATTTGATAAAATAATGGGAGTAAGAAAATTAAATGAGAGTAAATTTAGATGAAAGTAGATACAAAAACTTACCTTATCCTTCCTAATTTAGTAATTTACCTTATCCTTCCTAATTTAGTATTTTACCCTGTTCGTTAAGTTTAATTATATATACAGTGCGTAGTATTTTTTGTTCCCCGTCAGACTCACGGTTTTATACACGGATCTATTGCCCAATTTCATATTCGCCTTCGTGCCCTCTTTTTCGCGAAAACCGAACCCTAGATTTCCAAGCAACAGATACTCATGGCCAGCGATAAGCAAGCCCCCTCCCGCCACAAGCACAGACGTTCCTCCGACGACGAATCGGAGGAGCCCTCTAAACGCCGTAAGCACCACCGTCACCGCCACCACCGCCACCGCCACAGCAGCCGAAAACACGAAGAGGACCAAACCATACGCGAAGAGGAAATCAAACCCGATAAGGATGAAATTAAACACGATGAACGAGAGGACGTTGCCCTTCCTCCCCTGGAGGGCGCTGTATCGGGTTCGAATTGGCAACCCGATTATGAGATGGAGGAAGGTGAGATTGTCGAGGATGAGGACTTTGGTGGAGTTGATACTGATGTCGTTAAGAAGGCAACGGATTCTGATGCTGAGTTCGTTGGAGTAATGGCGGCTGAAGTTCACGTTGAATTTGATAATCACAACATGGTGTGTTCGATTCCCCTTGCTCTATTTTGATAAATTTGATTGTTTTGTACTATCTGTTTGGTTTCTGAGAAAATTGGGGGAAAACTAAAAGTTCAATTTGACTTTGTTACACAACTTTAAGCAGTTAATTATTTGTTTACCGTCTCTTGTTTTCAATTGATTTCTCAGCAACCAAACAGAAAATTGTTATATTTGTGGTGTGCATATGATGAATTTTCTTATTTTTTTCATAGTGATATTGATAGAGTGCATGAGGTATCTCATAAATATGTTAGAAACTGCCTCCACTGCACAGACATGTGAAATGAATGAATCACAAAGGAGCTTGCACTCCACTATTACATTTTTTTTCCAGGCAAAGTCAATAGGCGTTTCCTGAAGACTGATGACTTTCATTTGATTTGTAAGAACTAGTTACATGCTTTTATGTTTGCATGTTTTTAGCAATTATACTTTTTGGTGCTTATGTAAGGTAATCCCTGCCTAATCATTATTTTTACATTCATTGTTTTGCAGGGAGTTCAACAAGCTCAAGATGAAGTTGGCCTTTATTCTGGTTTGCCACCAGAAGATAATCTAGATATAAGTGGTCAAGATTCAAAGGCTTTTGGAGATAACAAGTCTGATGACGAGTTGTTGGCTAATACAACCGTGAATAGGAAAGAGAAAATGATTACTGGTAATAAGATCCATGATGAGGCTGGTGTGTGGAAATATTCAAGTGTGGAGCAGCACGCCAATGGGGACGTTAGGCACAAACCTATTGATGTATATGATAGGCCACATACAGGATCTGGATCCCCTGTGAAAGGAAGTCGCAAGCGAAAGAGCTACCGTGATAATGAAAGCGGTATAAGGGATCAGATAAAATCTGTCTCATCTGAAAACACTGGTGAGAGGCACAAAGCCTTGGCATGCTCGTCCTCTCGTGACAGTTACCATGAAGAGATTCATAGTGGGAAACGATCGAAGTCACATGACAGGAATAGAGAAAGATCTCGGTCCCGCAGCATTTTACAAGAGACGTCATTTTTGAAAACCACACACCAACAAGATGCTGCATGTGATACCAAAATCAGGAAAACTATGAGTGACTCAGATGATGATGAAGTTGTTGGACGCAATGGGGACCGCAGACATGGAAGCAGAGAATTATTTAGGGATAAAGAAAGGGAACGTAGTTCTAGTTATAGCAGATATACTGAGCGAGTTGACAGGCATCATAGTCTGGAGATTCGGGACAGAGACAGGGCGAGGACTCGAGATATTCAAGACAGAGATGTGGAGAATAGCCAGGAGACTCGCGATAGGGATAGGAGAAGAGAGAAGGAACGATTGCGTGACAGGGAGTGGGATAGAGAGAGGGAGAGGGAGAGGGAGAGGGAGAGGGCCAGGGAGAAAGGTAGAGACAGGGAGCGGGAGAGAGAGAGGGAGAGGGCCAGGGAGAAAGGTAGAGACAGGGAGAGGGAGAGGGGGAGGGGGAGGGATAGTGGAAGGGATAGAAATAGGAGTAAAGATAGGGACAGCGAAGTTGATGGGGTTAGTAGGCACCATAAGTATGAAAATGTTGGTGGAGGCTTTGGTGATCGAGACAGGTATAATGATTTGAGGCATAGAAGAGATGTTGTAACAGACCATAGGGACAGAGCAAGGACACATTATCCAGAAAGAGCTTATAGTTCCAAAAATCATCATTCAGAAGGGTATGAAGATAAACTTAAAAGGTACCTTGTCGTCTTAAACAGATTTATGTATTTGGTGGGCGCTCATGATTCCTCTCCTTTTTTTTTTGTTGTGTGATGCACACACATATTTACATGTTACTTTATTGGCTACAGAGACGAAGATGAACAAGAGGACTACCAGGAGCGCATTTCATTGCAACTTGAGGTACAGGAAGAGGAAGACCTTAACAGAATTAAGGAGGAGAGCAGAAGACGAAGGCAAGCCATACTGGAAAAATATAAAGCTCAGCAACATGTGCCTCATCCAGAGGATACTGGTAAGGTTTCTTCCATGTCCACTACTTACTATTGACATCTTTGTACTAAATGTCTTGTTAGTGTGATTTTGAGTCTTGAACCAATCAATTGAGCCTTCCTTATCTAAGAGGCTGGTGGAGCTTAAAGCTTGGACCATTTACTTATCTATGAGAGATATTCTTCCTTTGGCACATTTACATTATTTCTAGTATTCAGTTAGTTTCTGTTTGCACTAACAGCTATAGGACATGAAACAGATATGAAGCATGTGGAGCAGTCTTCTCTGGTACAAACAGCTGTTAATGTTGTTCCAGAAGTTACAGCTATTAATGTTGTTCCCGAAGTTCTTGATGGCCGGAGTGATGCAGATACGGAGCCATCGTTTTCTGTGGGTAAATCTCCTCCACAAAATGGGATTTCTGCATTTGAGAGGACTTCTAGTGCTAAGGGATTGGGAGAGGGTACTCCAAAGGTATGTCAACTTGCACTGAAAATATTGTAGATTTTTTTTAAAATTCTTGCTTTGTCCCATCACTTTGATCCCCTTTCAATATGCTAAATATTCCTAAATAAATTTTTTTTTTTGGGTGAGCCATATTTCTTTGGGTACTTGAATTTTATAATAATGTAGATTTAAACTTAATTTGATGTTAAGTGTGTATAGGGAGATGACTTTATTTTATCAAATTTTGCAGAGCGAGAGATCAGACGATATGTTCTGTGATGATATATTCGGAGAGTCACCTGCTGGAGTTCGTAAAACGGTACGTCTAATGGTTATGCATTTATGAACCCATCGAAAATTTATAGTGAATTTCTATTCCCAAATTGCATACCTGTATTGAATTTTGTTATTCAAGTATGGGCCCGAGAATTGAAGATTCCCCCTCTTCTGCTACTTTTTAAAATGTATAAAAGGTTTGCTCTCCAATGTATTATATTACAATCTATTGTTTTAGGGTTATGCATTAAATTTTTCCAAGTCAGGTCTGAGGTCAGTTTTCCACTTGTTAGTTCTCCATCTTTGAAGTTAGCTTTCTGCCAAACTTTCTGGAAATATGTTGCCCAGTTCCTCTCACTACTCAAGAACTTCAGAATTAAGTTTTTGTATCTGAAAGAAGTAGTTATGACTAACTTTTGCTTGGAAGGTAGGCAATGTCATGAAGATGTGGCAAATCCAATGTTTTTTTGTTTGTTGTGCCCCGTTTTGCTCTCATATACTTTGACGAGAGTGTTCTTTTTTTTATATTTATGATTATAACTTTTGGGCGATGTAGATGATATGATTTTTGTACCTACCACTTTTGTCATGGATGACTATACTAAAGTTTTCTGCTCTTTTCTTGTTCCTTCAGGGGAAAGCGGATGGTTTAGCAATTGAAAGGAGTGGTCTTCATGATAATTGGGATGATGCAGAGGGCTACTATAGTAAGTTTATGATCACCCTATAATCATCTATCTTTGCTTTAGATTTCTTTTGATATAATTTGAGGTGTGTTATTAAATAGGGAGGGGGATAAAGGTTAAGAGTTGTCTTACAGTTAATTTTAAATGGTTTTCTCTCAAGGGTCAAACAAAACAATTTGTTGCTTTTCTCTCGTTTTGACACTCATGGTGAATAAGTTTTGAATTTCAATCAAACCTAACTCGTGGTTTATCCATTGCCACCCAAAAAAACAAAAAAACAAAAAGAGTGGGATTTTTATTTTGGAACAAGGAAAATGAAACAAATATATGACCACTAAATAATTGTCTATTTTTGTTATCAATTCCTTTTTATATAATCTAAGCTGTCTTATTTTTGTTTAAAGGGAAAAAAATAAAATAGAGCTGTTTTACTTATTATTTCATATGTTTTTCTCTTGAGGGTCCAACAAAACAATTTGTTGCTTTGCTTCTCTCTCATTTTGACACTCATGGAGTCATATAAAACGGATATTAATCACTAAATGACACTAGACAAATATATAAGAAAAGCGGGATTTATGAGCCTGCAAAAGCTTACCAGAAGTCTGCTTTTGAATTAATCATCCTGGGGATTTAATAGTACAAAATATCCAGTTTTTTTAGTACCTTTGGAACCCCTTTGCCTTAGCGGACATCTAGCTCCAGTTGCTTTTTTTGTTGCCTATTGTGGCAGAATCTTACGCATATTGACATGGTAAATTTGTGATGCAGTAAGCAAGCATTCAGCCAATACCTTTCCAATGAGTTGGTGGTACCTTGACCATAAAGGAGTAGCTGTGGTCATCTGGATTGGGTGACAACATGATAGGTTCCTTTCATTGTCTACATAAGCCACCCATTCAATTTTTATGGGTATTGAACAAGAGCACGTATTGATTTCTGATTAAAATATCCCATGCAGTTGAGGCTTCGATATTATAAATTGGGTAGTTTAAAACTTCACAGTTAGATTGTAGGACCACATTGCTTTCCATTCTATATTAACCTCTGAAAAAAAAACACCCTGGTATCTTTTTCTTGTTGAGATTTGGGTTTCAGAAAGGTATAATTACTCGAGTGGGTGGTTTTCTGAAAGATATAAGAGAAAAGATGAAAAAAGGAAACCTACGTCTACCAAATGTCTGTTCCAAACACGTTTTGTTGCCTGTCAATGTTAATGTTGTTGGAGCTTAGCCATGGTCAGTTGCAAATTTTTTTCCATAGCAGTGGTGAGACATATTTTGTGGAGCTTGGCCCTTGCTATTTCCAAAGCCTGTATTTGGGGGAGTGCAGAGGGATTTAACCTTCATTTGAATTAGTGAATTCAAAGATTGCCTTGACCAGAATCTCCTTCCTCCTTTGGTTTTGGAAAAAGTGATATGAAGCTTGAAAGTCACCCCTGAACTTTTTATATTCACTATTTTGATGTTGTGAGAGAACATGGATTTTTTGTATGTTAGTGTAGAAAAATGCAACTTATTTGACATGCATGTCTTAAACCAATCAAAGAATACTTCACAAGTGTAACACTTCTCTCACAATATCTATTAAGCAAGAGTAGTCTAAGGTGAACTTGCTAAATAACTTTTGAACTTAAGTTTGATCTGTGCGAAATCTTCCTTTGTAAATCTATAACAATTACCTACTCTTTTTTCTCACACTGAGGTTTTCTTTCAGGCTATCGTTTTGGGGAAATTCTTGATGGTCGGTATGAAGTCACTGCTGCTCATGGGAAGGGTGTCTTTTCAACAGTAGTTCGTGCAAAGGATTTGAAGGCTGGGGCTGGTGATCCAGATGAAGTTGCAATAAAAATCATTCGTAATAATGAAACAATGTAATTACGAGTCACCCTACTCTGGTGCTAAATTTGTTGTTTGCTACATTTCCGTTTATGTGGTTGTGTGTAATTCTTGTTTCCTATTTCGATAGCGCATTTTTATGGCCCCAATTTTGTAAGACAAACTGTTTCTTGTTCTTATCTGAGACAGGTATAAGGCTGGTTTAGAAGAGCTGGTCATATTAAAGAAGTTAGTCGGTGCAGATCCAGAAGACAGGCGCCATTGTGTTCGTTTTCTTTCAAGTTTTAAGTACCGTAATCATCTTTGTTTAGTGTTTGAATCTCTTCACATGAATCTGCGTGAGGTTTTAAAGAAGTTTGGCCGCAATATTGGACTTAAACTAACTGCAGTGAGAGCATATGCAAAGCAACTTTTCATTGCGTTAAAGCATCTCAGAAACTGTGGCGTTCTTCACTCTGATATAAAGCCGGATAACATGCTGGTAAATTTTTTTTCTTTTCTTCTTCTTCTGGTAAAATTTTTATTTTTTCTTCTTCTTTTTCTGGTATGTATATATAGATATCTCACCTTCCATTTACTGTCCTCTTCAGGTAAATGAAGGAAAAAATGTGCTGAAGCTTTGTGATTTTGGCAACGCCATGTTTGCTGGTAAAAATGAAATCACGCCTTACCTCGTCAGCCGCTTTTATCGTGCCCCTGAGATAAGTAAGCACTTTTTTTTTTGAAATTGAAATTGATATTATATATTCGTTTTTGATGTTTAGAAAATGGGCATTCTTTTGTTAGAATCAATCAATTTTGTAATTGGTAATGTATTTCCTTCTGCAGTTTTGGGCTTGCCGTATGATCATCCTCTGGATATCTGGTCAGTTGGTTGCTGTTTGTTTGAGATTTATACCGGGAAAGTTCTTTTTCCAGGTCCAACAAACAATGACATGCTTCGCCTTCACATGGAACTAAAAGGTCCATTTCCTAAGAAGATGCTTCGAAAGGTTAGAATCTGATTTGCTATGAATGTGTTTTTAGCTGGATTTGTTGGTGGAGCAACTGAAGTGCTTTTTGATTAAACAGTAATTGAAATATGAATTTTTTTAGTGCTGGAATAGTAGTATTTGAAGACTTTTCTGTAGCTGAATTTGTAGAAATGAAAATTTAAGGATAAACATGTTCATTTAAATTAAGTTTTAAAATCATCTATCACTCTGTATGCATTTTTTGACAAGTGAAGCCTTTTGGACTCCAGGCATTTTCTAAGTGGAATTTTCATTACAAGTAATAATTAATTTTGTGATTCGTAAAACATTTAATAGAGAATCACTGATATTGTCAGTATTAAACACTTTGGTTATCAAAGACTACCTAAATCATTTTGGCTGTAATTTCTTCTTGTCTTTGGTTTTGTATTTTATTGTGAAAAGCAACTAATTTTTCCTCTCCTCTGACTGCCTGCCCCCCCCCCCCCAATCCCATTTCTTACAGGGAGCATTTACACATCAGCATTTTGACCAGGATTTGAATTTTCTAGCTTCAGAGGAGGATCCTGTTACAAAGAAGGTAGGCATTTATTTTTGAGCAATATTTGACTTATTTCCTGTTAACTGTATGTCTTGTTGTCCCTTTTTTTTTTTTTTTTTCTCCCCCCTCTTTTTTCTTTTATTGAACTTATATTTCTGTTGTTGCAGGCTATAAAACGGCTGATTCTCAATATCAAGCCAAAAGATATTGGTACCATAGTTACCACTTCTCCTGGCGAGGATCCGAAGATGTTATCCAATTTCAAAGACCTCCTTGAAAAAGTTTTCGTGTTGGATCCAGATAAGAGGATAACAGTATCACAAGCGTTGAACCATCCATTCATCACGGGCAAGTGATAACTGATGCTGACTTTCTGACTCCAGAAATGATGTTGAGCTAGATGTTTGTACATTCTGATCTAAATTGATATTCAGATATCTAATCGTTGGCCATTTATGTCTTTATTTTCTCTGCGCTGGCTTGAGAGCTTTGGACACGGTCTATGGCGTGGTCGAAGTTGAAAGAGATGATATTTTGACTGGAGACTTCTTACTTGGCAGTTCTTGCAGTGGAATATGTTCTGTTTCTACCGTAAGACAACTCTCCAAAGGCGTTTTTTTCCCTCTTGTACTCAATTCTTGATGGTGACCATTATGAATTTTTATTTATTTTATATAATGTGATTTTTTCTCATGAAAATTAAATTTGTACTTTGTACATGGATCCCTGCAATTGTATGTTGCGGGTCTAATGTCCACCAGAAAGTTAATGAATGCAGGAATACAGTTATTTCTGTGGTGTTGTAAAATAATGATATTGTTTTTTTTTTTTTTTTTTTGTCTAATTTGGCTGGGGTTTTCTTTTTCTTTTATCCTGCCTTACTGTTTTTGACTCAGATGGTTTTGGCTGTGTTAGCATAAATGTTACTTGTTTACTGGGACACTAAATTTATTCTCTTTTTCACTCATTGTGATGCCTTGGACTACATTTCTTTTTTCATAGGCTATTTAATAATTCACATATAGTTATATTTATTTTATTATTATTATTTTTTCGTTTCTTTTCCCTTCTGTTTTCCTGAATTGGTTGGGTCCTGGAGAGTCTAATTCTATTTTTCGTTCAGGATATCTACCAGTGCTATGAGGCAACCATTCAATGCTCTAGATGCATAAAAGGCACTCTGGAGAAGGTACCTTGGTTTGTTCATTAGGAGCTTATTGAAACACCCAAACTATATGGCATGATCTCTGATGGAATGTTATACTTCTTTTCTCTTCTAACCTTGTTATTGGTTATGGCTGGAAATTAATATAGGTTAATTCTAACTGTTTACATGTTTGCCGTGATTTTTCTCTGCATCACACCTTATATTATGTGTGTGTGCTTGCATGTTACACATTTAGATTTAGTTATTGGTGGTTGGTACTTCATATGCACAGCAAGAGATTATATTTCAGTGCTACTGTATATAAGTATGCTACTTTTCCTCCTTCAATATGCTCACCACACCTTGGACATGTATTACCATGCACTCAGTGACATTTTATATATACATTGTACATGAATATATGCTCCATTGGGCTGAAGTTGATGATTCAGCAAGAGAGCCGTCACTGGTTTTATTTTTATTTATTTATTTATTTTTTTATGTTGCTTCTGTTATTAATGTTTTTAAAATAAATACATATTCTAATAAAGCTGTATTATGTCTGATCCATGGCTTGACCATTCTGGAGGAGTACACACTGGAGGCGAAAGGCTACAGCTTTGAAGTGAGATTATATTTCAGTGAGTAACCCTGTTTGATTATCCAGTCTCTCTCTTGTAGAGCTGACAATTCCTTGTGGTGTCGTTCAAAATTTCAATGTGTTGATATGTCTTCTTATCTTTTTAGGGTACAGCTCCCATGCTTCGGTGGCTCTAGTAAGTATTCCTAATTTTCATTTTTTGTCTTGACATTGCCCTCAGATCCCCACTGTAGGGTTCCTGATATTGAGGTTTTTTGGTTCGTAAGTATTGGTTTATCTTTTGCGATTATTATTTCTTATAGATGTCAACGCAAGAATCATTGATGACATCTTATACTTGGGAAAGGTTTTTGTGTCCTAGTAGGTTTGCTTTGTGTTTTTCCCAACCTAAATAATTCATATTTTCACAAATGTCAAGATCTGATTGTGGTTTGACTGTTACTTATCCACACTAAACAAGTGTATGTTTCAGATTTTAAAACGAATATTTTGGAAAATGAGATATTAATCCAACATTTTCTATGATTAGGCAATTTTGCTAAATTGTTCAAGTGTTATGCAAATAGTGTGACTTTTTTTTGAAGCCTTCCAAACTCTGTATTGGAAATTCAGTGTCATTCTGTCTTTTTGGAGATTGTAATCTGCTTTTATTTTGATGAGAGAGAATTTGGTGCGAAATAGAACCTTGAGATGTACCTAAAGATTCAATAACACTATATTATCTTTGGCAAGGTTTCTTATGTGGATACAAATGTGAAACTATACATTGCCAATTGTTTCTGATATTATCATATTCATAAATATTACTCCTCAACTAGAAACCATGTTCCATCTCTATTTGGATTTTGTTACACAAATTCATTTTTGCCCTTTTTTGTGTATTGAAGTGACATTCATTAAAGAATTAGCTGTCATGATGTTCACAAGTACCTCAACTCATGTCAATTTTGGTCATTTCCTTGCCATGGTGGACCATGTTGCTCTTCCTTATTAGTGCACTTCTCAGTTTTCGTTGCACATGATAAACCATTTTAGTTGGTTTTCTATCATGTATCTCCAAAGAGTGCTACTATCATATTGCCACGAATGAACACGCTTCTGGATTTATCCTTCAATTAAATGCAATGTCTTTTGGCACTTATAAAAAAGAAAAGAAAAAATGCAACGTCTTTTGGATACCTCGACAGTTAACATTTTTGGCCATCCTCAGTTTATAAATGTATTTTTTTTAACCGTGTGACACATATAACTGCTGTTACTTTTGCTATATGCAAGTGTAGAAGGAATGAAGGATATCTTCGCTTGACCAATCTTTGCCTGAGGCTTATGGTAGTGGGTGGTAGAAGAGGGGTCCTTATTTTGCTCATAGTTATTGGGATAGGAATGGGGTGGCACTCGGAAAAGGATGGGTGAATTTCTGAGTCAGGATAGGAAAATCAAACATGTTAGAATTCAATGGCTCCCTTTGTTAATTTTTATATTGTGAAGGTGCATTACCCAGTTTTGATTCTGCCTTGGCAGGAATGGGGAGGGAGGAGTCAGAATAGGCCTAACCTTAGGTATTTCACAAATGGGTTGACTGAGGCTCAAACTCACATGGTGACACTGATGCTCAAGTGTTTAATTACTTGTTAATTATTATATTCTATTTTTTGATAATTATGCTTTATTATAAGTAAGTAGGAAAGGGGAGCATAACCCAGAAACATGCGGAATGTACGGGAGCCAAAGCCTAGACTCCTATGAAGACATCCACCCAAAAAAACTTCAAAAAAATGCAAAGATCAGGAAATCTCAAGAGATCCAGAAATGAGGGTGAAATGGGTTAAACGTAAGAATGTGGTGATTTGTGTTTTAAGGAGGTTACTTTGGGGGAGATTTTCCGATCTATTCATGATATTGACAGATAAGGATGCATTTGTAGTGGAGTTTGTCACGTCATTGGTGAGTGATGTGATGTGGAGAGCGAGATTTACAATAGCCTTTCAGGATTTGGAGATTGACTTTCTGTGTGTGAATGTGAATTATTTCTTTTTTGCGGGGGGAGGGGGGGGGGGGGGGGGGGGGGGGGGGGGTGTTGGGTTTTTTGGGGGGTGGAGCATGATGGGGTTGGGGGTGCTTTGAAATGAAAATTTACTGAGAATGAAAGATAATGAGAGAGAAGCGGAGTTGAAGAAGATTTGGGGAGAAGAAGAAATTTAAGGGGAAGAAGTGTGTAATCTCAATGTATTCCATAGTCAACCATAAAAAGATGCCAATCCTACTACCATAAATAAAACCTTAAAATACTAATTTACTAAAATATCCTCAAATTAGAATAATAATAAGTAAATAAACAAAAATTCCTAATTCAGTCTATCTTTTTTCTTTCGGAAGGTAATTCTCTCTCTTTTCCTCGTCTCCAACAGTAAAGGCGGAACACTTCAACCTCTCGAGGGGGGGGGGGGGGGGGGGGGGTTGTTGAGGGAGCCAAAGAAAGGAAATTGATAATATATAATTTTAGGAAGCTTTACTAACGAAAGGAGATAAGTCTTCCCATGTCCATTTTCCACACAAAGGCTTTTTAAATAGAGGTATTTTTCTGCTTGGTGTGCTGCTCTGGATGCCATTCTGACAGTTCGAGGAAAAAAGTGTTTTGAATAGTTAATCAGTGTTTCATGTCTGGAGTGGCAGCGGAGATCACTAGTCATGTTCTGTTGCATTGTAGAGTATTGAGGAAACTGGGGCCCTTTTATCTTTGTTTGAGATTGCCTGGACCAGTGGTGGCTATATCGGGGAGGGGTTGCCAGCATGTAGAAATTAGAATTGAGGTTTGGGATCGTCCCCTCTGCCATCTTGGTGCATTTGGAAGGAGAGGAATAGAGGGTCTTTTCCAATAGGGTCAGCTTACTGTTAGGTTGAAGCAGGTTTCTTGAGAACATTGGTCTTTTGGATCGTTTAAATATAGCCTTTTGATTCTTCTAGAAGTTTTGAAAGATTTTAGTTTCTTTTCGTAATCTGTGTGTAGTTTGTATACCTTTTCCATACATAGATTTTCTCTGGTTTGCTCATAAAAATAGATATCCACAAACTCAAAATTCCAATCTTGAAGAGGTGTAAAGCAGAGCTTCAATACTTATCTAATTCTCTCAAAACCTGATGTAATCAGTTACTAGAGCACCTCTAGTAGAAGCAATAGGGTCAGATTGGGTGGAATTAGAGATGTTTGATGAATTCAAAGATTTTAGTTGTTTAATAACCAATTGGGCCTCATGCTTACCAACTATCTTTTAGCCCTGCTCGAGGAGGTTGAGGCATAGTTAGGATGGGACTTATCTACTAGGAATAGTTTGGAAGGGGTGGGTTATCACAAACTTTCGTGTCGCCACTTGTGTTTGGATTGCAAGTATGAAGTAATTCATGTTGGATTCTTATAATTGCCGACAAAGGAGGCCTTGTTATGATTTACTATCTGTATGTGATATGTAAAAATAATAAAATATTATTGTATAAAATATATGAATTAAAATAAGAATAAATAATTTAATATTGGAAATCATCATCATCTTGCCTTAATCCCATGTGAATGTGTCCAAACTTCGTCTCTGTCTCATACCTTCTATGGCAACTAGTCTTCCTTGTTTAACTGGTGTGTGCGTCTAGGTCTCTGGTGTATGTGTCCAAACTATCTTCTTTGTTTATAGGGTTTCGATATACAAATTGAAATACACCATAAGGGTATACCATCTAGCATGTAATCATGCATGTTGTAGTAGATATAGTAATATGTGCACATAACAGATACATATGTGTTTACATTGTGTGTCTAGAAAATTATATATAATGATATTTGTACAAGTAAATTCTTATATAAAATACCTTCACTGTTAAAAAAAAGAAAACTGACCAGACGTACCTGGTTGCAATCAGATGTAGGAAAGAAGTTCGTTTAGGAGCCACCGCATATGTTACTCTTGAATTGATTTGTGATCGCTCTTTCCCCCCGCCTCGCTGGTCGGCGGCAAGGATGATTGCTTGGCGAAGCTTGGGTTGACAGACATGGCTTGAATCTGAGTATAATAGTTGGAACTTTTTGCAAAAATAATGTCAAAGGTTGTAGGCTGGCACATCACTGAGTAATGGACTTTTTTAACTTGCATTCAGTTTCATTTGGACAATTATGGCCAGACCTAATGCTGGAATGAGGTCGAAATATCTTGACAATGAATTCTTGGCATTGGCGCACTGGTTTACTTGATGACTCTTTTGATTTCTCTTGTATTTCATTTCTATCTCATTCCACTTCCGTGACCAAAACATGAGTTTATGGAAACAGTGCTTTGCTATTAACTAGGTATGCATATTAGGACTGGTTAAACCAACCAGACTTCTATTGTAGAGGTTGGTGATTTATTTATTTATTTGGATAAGTGGGGTTGGTTAGGTTTTTTTGGAGGTTCTGTTCAGTTCTCGTTTGAAAATTTGGAGAACCGATGAGGTCGTTTGGTTTTGTTTGATTCATCTGGTCACCTGAATCAGTCCAAGAACTGATACCACTTGGATACTTCAAGTTGAATTTTATTTGTAAAATCAAAGCCCACCTGTTTATTTGTTGATATATTGGAGCCCACCTTTTGCTATCTGGTTGATTTGGGTGTGACCTCATAATAAAATCATGCAAAGCTTTTATATGTATATATAGTAGTTGCTGAATGAGAGATCAGACTTTTCTATGCTTACTATGAAAATTCTTTTAACCCAAAACCCAAACTGAACCCCCAGCTTTACTGGATCTATTTGGTGAATTCTTCACATAGTCGGCAGTTTTGGTTCCGTTTCTTGTGAAACAACTTAGGTCAGTTCAATTTTGGGTTTGTGCCAACCTCACCAAACTCCCTGAGTGAACCCCTATTGTTAACAATTGATATGCATTAGATGGGTAGCTATTGCCTATTGGTGACTGACGCATTACACTGTCTAGAAGTAACATAATACAAGTCTTAAGTTGTGTTTAAGTTATTGTGATTTGATCGACGTAGTTGTTCTTTATTTTTTATATGTGGCTGTAGTAATGTTGCAGTGTGATGATATTGTTTGATGTAGTATTACATGTTTGATCGGCAATTAGGGGGGTGGGGGGATTGATATAAATCGATTGATTTGTGTCTCAATCTAGTGAACATTTTATAGCCTCTATGGTCGGGATGGTGCTCAGAATGAAATGGCATTCGTGCCCTTTTGATTGTTTGAAACAACACGTAAGATTCAGAAATAAGGTATATCGCACAACTCTCAACCATTTCGTCCTTTGTAGCTTGTGTAAAGATCAATGGGAACTTGTGAAGGTGATTCGGGTTGGGTCAAATGATTTGAGCAGATCCCTGTGCACCCATAGAGACCTACTAACTTGCATATTGATAAATCTCTATCTCAGGCGGGCACACAGATGCACAGACACCTCTCTCTCTCTCTCTACACACACACACACACACACACACATAAATATATATGTATTTACAGCTATTGGCAAAGGAACCTGAAGATGGGGTGGGGTTGGAGAGGCTTATTGGTGTGGGTTTAATACATAAACCAGTTGCAGTTAAGGGGTGGGGGATTTCTGCTGCGATTGGAGTGGGCTCCTTGTCTCATTCCCGCTCTATTGCCAAATCTACTACTTCAATTCTAGATCTCTAATAGTTATAATCACATTATGGATATGGGTATTTTTGACCCCCCTAGAGTCAAACTAGTCGATTTATCTTTTGCTGTTTGTCTAGATTGCTTTGCGACTTTTTTATTTTTTATTTTTGAGATTCATATATCAGCCTTTGGTAGTTAGAATTCTTTTCGTCTACTTATGTTACTTATTCCATGTGCATTGTTGGACTTTCTGAGAGGTACTAAAATGGAGTTTTAAGTTTAATTTTGGGGAAAAAAATCTGGTTGGCTTAAGCTTTACTTCCTTCTTAGAAATGGATGAAGCATAACCAAGTCTGCCATTAAATCCCTTTTTTATCCTGTTCTTTTTGTTTGTTTGTTTTTCTTTTTGGTAGATTGCCATTCCAAGTGTTTCTCCCCTTTTTTTTTATTTTTTTATTTTGAGTTAATAGATTTTCTTGCTCATTTTAAAACTTGAGGTGGCTTAGTTCCATTATATATATATATAAAGAAGGGGGAGTTTTCTTGGGTTAGCCTTGTAGCATTTGCTTGTGTTATAACTTTACGTCATGTTCGATGATATAGTGGGTTGTTGTAACGGACCGGGGGATTCGCGGTCCGACTCAAACGCTTAAGCTATTAGGTGGTGCTAGCACCCAATGCATATATACTCGATCATTTACCCATCCTGGATCCGATGTGGGACAAGGATTGTAACATTCTGCCCACCCGAATTCGCAACAACCTCGTTGAGGTCGGGCTACCTTGCCTTCACGGGGGAAGGCACCCGAACATGTTCAGACCGGACGTTTGGCATGCCACCAGATGAAGGATTGGGTCTTGCTCTGATGCCAAGTGTAACGGGCCAGGTGCTAAGCGGTCTGATGCAAAATCTTATCTATTACCATATATAGCTAATCACTTTCCGAATAGGTGAAACTGTCCATTTGTCCGTGATGGTATTATCAACGGTGATGGTAATATCAATGTAAATGCAGTCAACTTAAACCTTGTAGGAAATGGTTAATTATGTATGTGGAATTTGTGCACCCTTCGCAAGCGTCGCTTTTCTACCCTTTTGGTGTTTGTTTTGGGAATAATTTTTTAAGGCTTACTTGATAGTGTTCATTGAATCTTCTTCCTTTCTTTTCTCAAGAATAATGTCAAATTATATATTATAAGGTTTAATTGCAGTTGTTGAGTGCTTTAGTGTTTTAGAATGAAATGACTAGTGTTGGGTCTGTATATGCTCCAGAAAGGTATGATCTTGAGTCTTTTCATCCATGTGAATCATTAATCTAATTTCTGCGTGTATTTTTTTGCTTGAAGCATATTTTCACTCGAAACGGAAATAATCCAAGGAGGGGCATTGACACAGACGTATGCGCACATAAATTTAACTGAAAAAGAAGAAGAAAAGAATTATACGATAATAATTTTGATATGTAGGTCTTTGGTGAAATCATATAATGATTTTCTGAAACATAGAATTCTTATATGAAATATGGTAATACTTTGTGGAAACTTTGAATTCAAATTTGTAGTTTGATCTTCTAAGTTGTATGCGAACTTGAATTGAATGATTTGATCATAGTGAATCTTAACACGTTCTATAGTCTATTTGTCTCGATGAGACCATATGACACCCCCAGGTCTTTGCTTCTGTGACAAATGGCTGGATTGCTAGTATCAGTTGAGACTCGAAGATCAATATGCTGGTTTGGATTTTTTTTTTTATCGGTTGGTGATGGTAGATAGTGACAGGTATTAGTATTAACATTGGATATGATGGTCATTTTTGAGGCTGAAAAGAAACACAATGATTTGTTCATAAGCTAGACGCACTGAGGAAGGAAGAAGGTAAATGAAACAAAGGTTTGTTGCTTATTCAACTCACAACTTTTATTTCGACATTAGAAGTATTTGCAGGAGAAAATTCTTAGATAATGTTGTTTGTTGACATAGTGGTAAACATTAAAGGGAGGAAAGAATTTTAAACTAATAGAAAGTTTGACTATGTTTACACTTTCTAATACTTAATTTTCTTCATTTTTTAATGTCATTAGAAGAATATTCAGTGCATGAAATTTTAATTAGATGAGCCTCCGGAGTGATCTGCTGAGTCTGAATAATTTTCTGAAGGTCTGGAGTAAAATCATTATGGAAAGGGAAGGCGATTTACAAGGTTTTTATCAGGTTTTTGTTTCATTATTATAGGGGTCTCGTCTCGTTGTAGAAATAGCTATATGGGGATGATGTCTTGTGGCCAAAAAGTGCTATAAGATCCCATGAAACGTATTACGTTTGTATCAGCGTTTAATAATTCATGTTACTTGTATTACAAACTTGTTGACTATCAGCTCATAAGAAATGATGAAGAAAGTGCAAGTTTTATTTGTTTTGTATTTTCAGATTCTGAAAAGAGTACCAAGTCCAACTTGTGGGCTCTTGCTACGAAACGTATCCAAGGATGAATTCCAGGTCAGATGGGACGACGACGTTTGGATTTTAAACCATTTTAATCATGACAGATGAATTTAATTGGTCGGTTGTGCGCTCCAGCTAAGAGTTCTAATTTCTTGATTACTTGGATCACCAAGTCTTTAAGAAATTTTACTGCCTTTAAAGAAGCCAGTGGTAATCGAATGAGACTTTGGGTACCGTTTGGTGGTTAACTTTTAATTGAATGGACTTGTTTATTTTTTCATTGTAGTCTTTTAAGAAAAGTTTCACAATTTTGAATGAATTGAAATAAAAAAATTCTATGGTTTGACAGTTGACAAACACTCTATTTTTGTAGAGCTTTTTATTTATTTATTTATTTGTTTATTTTATATGGTTCTTTTAAAATAGTGTCTATGCAACTTTCAAGGATTAAACAATCAAAAGGATTATTTTTATTATATTTTTTTTCTTCGGGGTAACTAACAATATTGTGAATTTATGGCCTGTCGGGATTGAACAATCAAAATGATTATTTTGTATTTTTATTTTTTTAAAAAAAGAAAAAAAAATGTTTTATCTACATTGAAAGGATGTCCAAACGGTACTTAAAAGTCGCACTTTTCCATTATTGGAAGTTTTAAATCAACTTAATGGAGTAGTAGCTATCGATATTGTGACCTGAATCGCGTCCATTACAAGAAGAGATCTTGTATTTTCAAGTGAATTAAAATGACATGCCTAATAGTCATTATATTCCAACACCACTAATATATTTCGGATTCGAATTGGATAAAAATCGATCAACTGACAACAGGCTTATTCCCAATTCTACCGTGATAGATAAGAAGCTTAATTGTTGACCGAAGTGTTTGGAAAATGAAAAACTGATTAAATAATACAAAATTGTCTAACAAAAAACAATAGCATTGTTTGAGACTAATGAATAATTCTATTTTCGCAACGTCTGCAAGTGGGGTGTGGAGTGTATTTCTTGATATATACATATTGTAAACTAAATAATGCCTCTAAAAGTGAATTATTTATGAAGAAAAATATTAGTAAAACAAAGATAGGATTTGTTTGGTTAGATAGAAATAACAAGAAAATAAAAAAAAGAAAATGAAATGTTTGGTCGGTTAAAAAAGAAAATTCTAATGAAAATTTATTTTTTGTAACCATTAAACTTTTCATAATTTTTTTATTTATTTATAAAAATATAGAAACAAGAATATTTTAATTTCTTGGGAAAGTATTATGAATTTCAATAAGACCTTTTTTTTTTTTATAGTATATATATATATATATATATATATTTTTTTTTTTTTTTGTTGTTCAAACCATAAAAATTAATTTTTATAACTTTTTGAAAAAAAAAAAAAAAAAATCATGCTAATTGAATAGATGGATGTAAAATTAACAATATTTAAATGGCTTCGCAGTGTATCCGGACTACTTGGGGTAGGTAGGTAGAGCGTATATGCATGTAATTCGCATATCCTATTACTAGTATTTTTTCAAGGATCATATAGACCGCGTGTATCTTCCCTTCCTCGACGCAACGCAGACAAACCAACCGCGTCAAAAGCCTCGTTCCCATTCAACATTTCCGCGAGACTTCGTTCTTAAGAAACTTCCAGATCACACGTAAAAACCCCACATCATTACACACATTAACACACATTACATGATACACCATATAATATACGGACTAATATATATACCCCACACACTTTCTGGGTTTATCTCTCACTCTCTCTCTCTCTCTCATCGACATCATCACGTAAAGGTGCAAACGAGTCTCGACTCGTTTGTTCTCTTGTATCCTCTGCTCTACAACCCACTCTTCCCCAATTTTCACAACAACAGTCATGGGTAGGAAGCTAGATGCTCTGTTGGGAAGAAACATCAGTACCTCCAAGTTCAAGCCGCTCGTCAACGTTGCCGTCTCTCGTGTCAGCGTCCTCAAGAGCCAGCGCCAAGCCCGGTGCTCTCTTGCCCGGTCCGACACCGTTCAGATCCTCAAACTTGGCCAACATGAGCGAGCTCTTCTTCGGGTATACCCACTTCACCTTATTGATAAACTGTTTGAACTTTTTCTTTTTTGTGTGTTTGAAAATGATTGTGTTGCTCAATACCCTTTTGAAAAAATAATTGATCTTTTTTTTGTTTTTTTGGGTGTTGAAAATGATTGTGTTGATCAATACCATTTTTGGTAAAAGTATTGATCTTTTTCTTATTTGGGTGTTGAAAATGATTGTGTTGTTGAATACCCTTTCTGATAAAGTATTGATCTTTTTGGTTTTGGGTGTTGAAAATGATGGTGTTGATAGGTTGAGCAAGTGATCAAGGAACAGAACATGTTGGATGTGCTTGCTATGATTGAAGGGTATTGTCTTCTGGTGTTAGAGAGGCTCAATCTCATAGAACAAGACAGGTTTGTTTGTTTGTTTGTTTTTTTTTTTTTCATTTTTGATGTGTTAAAAGAAGTGTACTTGTTCTATTCTTTTACAGTTTTATGGGTTAATTGATCCTTTGTATATATAGGGTATGTCCTGATGAACTGAAAGAGGCCATATCGAGTTTGCTCTATGCATCTACGAGATGTGGAGAGTTCCCAGAGCTCCAAGAGATGCGCGCGTTTTTCACATCTCATTATGGGAAGGAATTTGTGGCTCGTGGTACTGAATTACGCAACAATTGTGGGGTCAATCTCAAGGTATTTATATATATATATATATATATATATATATATATATATGCATAATGAAATGATAAGTAATGATTTTTAAAAATTAATACAATTGGGAGATATGGAGTTTTATATATAGAAGAGTGGAAAAAGAGAATCACGAGGCCAACTCCGGATAAAGACAATAATGATGATATTATAATGATGATATAATGATGATATTATATATATATATATATATATATATATATATATATATGTATATATATATATTGCATCTACGCACGACATTTTATTATTTCAAATGTTAGAGAAATGTTCCTTTTGAAGGATTTTTCTTTGATGTTAATGGTTACATATTTGTATTGGGTTTTTGTATATGTAGATGATACAGAAGCTGTCAACCAAACAACCAATTTTGGAGGACAGGTTCAAGGTGCTTAAGGAAATTGCTTCCGAGAATGGGATTGATTTACAAGTCGAAGAACCTTCTCCAAAGAAAACAGAGGTACGCAGGTTATATTATAACATGACCAAGATTGCAAGTATATGAATATTATTGATTTGTTTAACCAATAAACATTTATTCATGCCATGTCTATTCTTGTGCATTAATTGCAGGAGAAATTGGAGGAAGACCAGAAGCAGAACCAGCCTAACCCGAACCCATCAGCGAATTCCGGTGATGATAAGCTTGGAGATGGTTCGCAAATATTAAGAGATGATATTGAAAGGGTTGAGAGGTTTTCTGATTCTGTGATGGGGAAGAAAAAGTACAAGGATGTGGCTGATGCAGCACAAGCTGCTTTTGAATCGGCAGCTTATGCTGCAGCAGCTGCAAGAGCGGCAGTGGAACTCTCTCGGTCTGAATCCCATGAGCCCGATGATCCAAGTGGTCCCAGTCCTCGAAGGAAACAAGTACTTGACACTCATGAGCAAATGCAATTTGAACTTCAGACTCGGTCTGAATCTCACGATCCTGATGATCCAAGTAGTCCCAGTGGTCGAAGGAAACAAGTACTTGACACTCATGAGCAAATGCAATTTGAACATGAGACTGGTGAGGAAGAAGATTTGAGAGGAATTGAGGACCGGAGTGTTGGATTGGGATTTGAAAAAAACCACCAAATTGAGAACTACCAATCTGAATCCGAAGATGAGGAAATCCATCCAATTGAGTACTACCAATCTGAATCTAAAGATGAGGAAATCCACACTGGAAGTGAGGATCAGGACTCCAAACAGAGTAAGAATGCATCTGAACTTCAGAGATCAGTGTCTGCCTCGAGTTCAGATCCAGATGAGAACATTTTGAAGGAGACTACAAATTTTCCAGAAGCGGGGAGCAAGTCCAAGACATCGGAGACGAAAATAGTTTTTGATGACAGTGATGATGAGACTGGAAGTGATCATGGAAAAATACAGTTGCCGAAGACCCATGACTTGGGTTCTGATATGAAGCCAAGTTTGTTTTCGAAAGAAAGATGGAGGTCTAAGATATGTAATACTGATAAGAAGGAAGATCATTCAGCAGCTGGTGGTGAAAAGCTCTCCCACCGTCCTCACAAGCACTTCTTTTTTAGATCTCGAGCTCGCATGAATTTAGAATCAGGTTCGGTAGAGCCCAAAGCACATTCTGCTGAAGGATCCAGGACTCAAAGTGCACGGCCTGTGGACGTGCAGAGCAGGCCAACCTCTGTGAGGACAAATCTATCACATCAGCGCTAAGAAGCATATGATTACATTAGGGGTTGTAAAAGATTTGGTGAGTTACAGTTTAATAAGCTGCGTTTGCAAATTAGCTTGCTTTGTTCATTTTTTGAGTATATAATTTGTGGAAATGTAATTTTTGTGCAATGGTTTTGAACGGTGAGTGGTTTCCCATTTTTTTGTGAAGTTAAAAGTATTGTTTTGTTGTTAAGGTTAATAATTCTTAGTATTCCAACATGTGAATGGGTACTGTCTAGTCTCTGCTATGTGATGTGTGTGTGCCTCTATGCATATTGTATGTAATGAATTGTCTTCATAACCAGAATCTACACCATAGAAAGACCCCTAATGATTTATCAAGAAATTGAGTCTGTTCAAAGTTGGAAGTGCTTTTGTGGTCATCCCGACCACAGCCTATGAATCCTATGATTCATCACTTAAAATGGAATCCATTAAGAAAACAAGTTGCATATCCTCACATGGGAAATTGGACTAAGAATCGGATCATAAACGCATTACCGAGAATACAAAAGGTGGGATTATAAATTTTTGAGCACGTCGAACTAAAGATGATCATGTTGAGCATGTAACCTTGCCTTTTGTTTTGATTCATATGCTTCCTTGTATCTATGTTTTGCCCTCTCTAATATTATTGTTCAAGTAATAAAATGATGCTCATGCTGAGTTTTGTTCAGGGAACTACGTCGTACCTTTGATCTTGTCTTCTCGAAGAAGCTTCTTTTTCTGATCCGAGTGGCCTTATGCTCAAAAATTTGACCTAAATCTACAACAACATAAATTGCCATATCATGCACAATCTATGAACAATGTGCTGGTTGGGACAACTGAAACAGTAAATTTGCTGAGATTCGGGAGCACAAATCAAATCTTAAAATCAAACAGTTACAAAAAAATTTCAGATTTAGGTCAAGGAGAACATCAAGTAACCTATTTGCTAGAACCTCAATTAACTATGTAAAACTTCAAGGTGAAATCACTGGTTCCTAGTTCACTGCTTCCGTGTTATTTTACCATTTCAATCTAAAGTTCCTTCCTTGTACATAAACACTTACTATAGAAAAAATAGAAAAAGTGTTTGCAGAGCCAAGTAAATACACATATATGACAACAGAACCTTTTCGAGATCTTTAAGTGAGTTTATCAGTCATATCATCCCATAGATCTTAGAACATCCTGTTAGCCTTCTCCATTGACATGCTATTTCTGAGTACATTGCTCCATGGCCTTATTTTCTTTTGGGCTTGCCGGATGTACTCCTCAGAATTTAGTCAATTTGTTCAAGTTACCTGGCAGAGACCTCTTTGAAATCAGTTTGGAAGAAAGGAATCAGGTATGTCTCTGTCACTTGCCTCCTTCCCTAGATTGATTTCTTTTGCATGTATGTGTTTCCGTGTTAATTTCATTTTAGTTTCTGCAACAATACTGTGTCTTACTTTCTTATGTGAAAACCAAATATAAAAACCAGCATCAATATATTCGAGTAATTGAGGATATGAATTTTCATTTGTAAATGTGTGTGTGTGTGTGTGTGTCTCTTGATTGAAAGTAGGGAAGTATCGAGTGCCTTAGCGTATAAGTCCTTTTGAGTTTGAACTTTTGCAAAAAGCAGCAAATTCCATTGTATACATATTACTGGGTAAAGAAAAAACAATAAATACGAGAGAAAGTTCAACTCAAACAACAGTTGAAAGATAGGCAAAACTCATTTGTAGCTTACCGACATACCCAAGCAAAGGTATTTGGCAGCAAACGAGAATATGCAAGTGGCCTTTAAACCTGAATATCCCTAAGTGCAAGTGCATTGTCCTTTTCAACGTTTGCTTCAGTTAGCGTGTACAGCTGTTATCTATTAACTGGTATCTATTAGTTGTTAATGTATTAACTGTTAGTATTAGCTGTCAATTAAATTGTATAGTTGACTTACCTTGAATACGTCTGTGTATTCTGTATAAATATCCTTGAGGTATATGAAAGAGAAGTATCTTTTCAGCCATTTATCAATTTGGTATCAGAGCAAAAAGAAAGGAATTTCCGCTGCTTTCTTTTCTTTTCTTTTTTAACCTTACTTCTAAAGACCTGCAACAGGCGTCAGCTATCTTCTTTGTGCTGCTGCTGCTTGTCTTTAATACCTCTTAGCCACGATCCATGGCAGCCAAAACAACCACTGATTCTTCCTCTCTAACGAGATTTCATCTGATAGCAAGAAGTCCTCCACGATGAGTATTCACGAAACTTCTTCTCCCATTCCTATTAAATTGGATGGTGCTAATTATCGTGTTTGGTCTCAGATTTTGGAGATGCATATTGCTGGTAGACAAAAAAAGGGGTATTATCATAGGGAGAAAGGTTGCACGTGCAGAGGATGATCCAAGCTATGATGAATGGGAGGCTGAAGATGCCCTAGTCAAGTCTTGGCTTATCAATTACATGACGGTTAATCTGATTTCCCACTTTGTGCAGTGTGGAACAGCCAAGGAGGTTTGGGATGCGGTAAAGAGAAGCTATCTTGATGTCTCTGATTCTTCTCAGGTTTATGAACTGATGAAGAAGTCCTTTCAATTGCGTCAGGATGGCCGGCCTCTTGTAGAGTCCTACAATGAGTTGAACTCAATCTTCAAGGAACTTGATTATCGAAGACCAAATGATATGACGTGTGCAACTGATATTGAGAAACAGAGGAAGCGTATTTCTGAGGATAGGGTCTATATGTTTCTTGGAGGTTTGGATCACAGTTTGGATCAAGTTAGTAGTCGTGCTATAGCTACCACTCCTTTACTAAGCCTGGAAGAAGCATATTCTCTAGTTTGTCGTGAAACACAGAGATAGGTCACCATGGCAATAAAGGATCACTCAGAGGCCTCGGCTCTTGCTATCCAAAAGAGTTCCCGACCAGCTCTTCCTTCAACCGACTCTACTTCTCGTCTCTGCACTCACTGCAATAGTACGAGACATACGGTTGATGTTTGCTGGAAGAAACATGGTTATTCGTAGTGGTTCAAGCTTAAGCAAGCTGAGAAGAACAACAAGAAATTTGCTCAGGTTGCTATCATCGACACTTCTCCATCTTCAGCTTCTTATGTATCTCGAGTTTCTTCTCAAGGAGGTAATTCTGGTTTGGCCTTTATTTCTACTGCTTCTAACACTTGGGTTATTGATTCAGGGGCCACTGATCATATGACTAGTAACTCTTCCATACTTGACTCTCTAATACCTTTACCTGTTAAGTTTGTTCAGGTTGCTAACGGGACTCTTATACCAATTATAGGGCTGGGAATGTCTCACTTTCTCCTACATTCTCCATGTCTTCAGTTTTACTTGCTTTTCCTTCATTCTCCATGTCTTTAGTTTTACTTGCACCTAATCTCTCTAACAACCTTCTTTCCATTAACAAAATTACCAAAAATCTTAATTGTTCTGTAACTTTTCATTCTACCCATTGTGTGTTTCAGGACAATCTTACGAAGATGACGATTTGCATTGGTAAGGAGAGATGAAGTCTTTACTACTTGAAGAAGGGGGTAAGGGAGTTAAAGTCTGAACCTAGCCGTGGTTTTCAAATAGAGAAAGAGTCTGATAGAGAGAAGATATTTTTATGGCATTGTCGTTTGGGACATCCATCTTTCTCTTATGTAGAACGTTTATTTCCTAAGTTATTTTGCAATATTTCTGCTTTTAATTTAGGGTGTGAACAATGCATTTATGCTAAAAACCATCGTGTTCCTTTTAAAGTGAGTTTCAATAAAAGTCCTATTCATTTTTCATGTGTTTATACAGATGTGTGGGGTCCTTTTTCTACTCCTTCTGCTTCGGGCCATAAATACTTTATATCTTTTATTGATGATTGTATTAGAGTGAGTTGTGTTTATTTGCTAAAATCTAAGAGTGATGTTATACATGTTATTCCTTAGTTTTACGAAATGATTGTCACACAATTTCATACTCAGGTTCAGGTTTTCCATTCTGATAACGGTCGTGAGTTTGTGAATCAATCTCTTACTGATTTCTTCAAATAACATGGCATCTTCCACCAGACAACGTGTGCCTACACGCCACAACAAAACGGCATAGCAGAGCGTAAGAATCGTCATCTTTTAGAGGTGGCTCATACCTTATGCTTTACTATGAATGTTCCTAAGCGTTTCTGGGCTGAGGCTGTCATGATTGCTGTTTTTCTTATCAATCGAATGCCTTCTCGTATAATTAAATATCAAACTCCATTGAGAATGCTATCTCGATTTCACTTTATTACTTCTACACTAAATCTTTGTCCTAAGGTTTTTGGTTTTGTGTGTTATGTTCATATACATTCTTTTCATAGGAATAAGTTTGGCCCTCGTGCTCTTAAGTGTGTCTTCCTTGGTTACTCTAGTTCACAAAAGGGCAATAAATGTTTTCATCCTCCTACAAGTAAATACTATGTGTCCATGGATGTTCAGTTTTGTGAAAGAGAGTCTTATTTTTCTGGGGATGTATCTCTGATTCCTATTCAAGGGGAGATTAGTAGTAAGGAAGAGGAACGATTATGGCTGGAAGAAAAGAGGTTGTGGATTTTAGGTAAGGGGGAGGATTCAGCTGTTATAAAAAAAGGAGAACCTTTAGATACTCTTGATCATGTGGAGACCGAGTTCGATGAAAAAATAGGTGATAGACCAGCCCACTTGTTCAAAGAAGTATATGTGAGAAGTGTAACGACCCAAATCCACTGGGTCCGGGTCATTAAACGGGTCTTTACCCGACCCAAAATCATCTAAGGGTAATATGGTCCTTTCACATTAAATTTGTATGTTAAAGTCCAACAAGGACAAGATGGTCATTTGTTACAATTCTAATGGTTTGAGACTCAAAGGGGCAAAATAGTCATTTATTGTATCACGTAATAAATAAGATAAAGTCCGGGACAATATAGTCATTCCCATGGTTAAAATATAATTATTGTATTTTACGGGACCTTATAATGTGCAACAATACACTTTAGTGAGACGTCAAGGGCAAAATGGGAAAATAAGTCACAAATGTTTACTACACAGGAACCGGTCGACGTATGGGGAGTTACATGTCAACTGGTTTGGGACGTGTACAGTAATAAAAACTCACTGCCAGGATACTAGTCGACGTATGGAAGGCTACCCGTCGACTGGTTAAGGACTTGTACAGTGGAAGCACTCACTGCCAAGATACCGGTCGACGTGTGGGAAGCTA